AGAGGGTTGCTGAGCATCATCATCAACTGACAGCACATAGCAGCAACAAGGGATTATTAGGTTTTTTAGGTTGACCAGTGGCAAGAATCTGTGCTGCAACCCAAAGGCATGCGGTGAGAAGCCACCAGCTGCTCTGCAGGAGAAGGATGGGCAATCTCCTCCTGTGTGATTAACTGCATCTGAAAACCCACTGGCGGATCAGCTGTGGGTCAGTTCCAACTCCATGGTACACAATAACAACAACAGGTTTGAGAATGGCATCGTAGTTGTATTTTTTTATCTTTCAAGCATGTTGACTGCATGTTCAATCGATTTCTAACCGCAAAAGTTGATAGAAATCCATTTTCTCCTCTTTGGCTCTAGATGTCGGTGTATATATTTGTATGCATATGGATATTATACTGTCTGTCATTCACAATATATTTCAATATGGATCTAGAAATTTTTTTATTATGAAAGCAATCCTATTTTTTCTCACCTTTTCATCTCCAGCATAATAGATCATATGATCACCTGATTCAAAATGTTTCATGACAAGCCATCTTATTTCACCAATACCTAATGTGTCAATATTTATTTGTTCCATATCTTTCTTAACAATGTCCAATTTTCCTATATTCATGCTTCTCACATTCCACGTCCCAATCACTAGTGTCTCCTTACAATTGTTGCTCCTTCTTTGTGTTTCCACATTTGAGGTCTCAGATTCAGTTGTCATGTCTGCTAGTCTAAGTCTATTGGGTTTTCGAAGGCCTGTTATTTCAGAAGTGGATAGTCAATCTTTCTTCCTCATCTGTCTTAATTTGAGTACTCAGATTTAGAATAGTATCTGACAGAGTTTGCTTGGCTCCACAATCAGCACTCTTGGTACCAGCAGCCAGGAAATCAAAAGATGAATTGCTTTGGGGAAGTCCACTGTCAGGGATCTCTCCAGAGTACTGAAGAGCAACGATGTCCGTCTGGAGACTAAGGTGTGTCTGATCCAGGCCATAGTCTTTGCAATTGCTTGCTGTGTGTCAAAAAGCTGAACAATGACTAGGGATGATAGAAAGATAATTGATGCATTTGAGCTGTGGTGCTGGAGGTGTGTTGAATATACCATGGACTGCTAGAGAACAAACAAGTTTGTTCTGGAGAGGGTGAAACCAGGCTGTTCCTTGAAGGCAAGGATTCTGAGGCTTTGACATACTTTGGGCATGTTGCAAGGAGGGGCCGGTCCTTGGAGAGGGACATTATGCTGGAAGGGACAGAGAAAGACAGGAAGACCCTCGAGGAAATAGACTGATTCAGTGATTGGGGTAATGAGAGTAGGTGTGTCAGAGGCAGTAAAGTTGGCACAGGATAAAGCAGGTTTCAGGGTTATCGTGCATAGGGTTGCTATGAGTCGCAAGCAACTTGATGGCAAATAACATCTTTCAAGCTGAGAAATATGCTGAAAAGTATTGTTATGTATGAATTGACATGATATTTAGTTATGCTCTAAAATAACAGAGAAAGAAGGAAGTACCTGGGGCCAGCCAAGCCATGTTGAGCAGGCTGCGCGATAGTTTACATGGCATTCACAGTATCATTCTAATCTACTGCTGTGTGTCCAGAACTCTCCACATCAAGTTCTTAAGGAAAGTAGTTCAGTTTCCTGCCTTCTGCACCCTATAGAGTTTGTTATTCCCAGCTTAGGCCTGGGCTCCAAGCTCTTGCCCTGGGAAAGGAACACGTCTCCTGGGCCAAGGAGTGTGCTTGCTGAGGTCAGAAGTCCTGATCGCAGTATTTCCTGGTAATACTGGAAACTGGGAAGTAATTATCAGTGGATAAAAGCATTCTCTCTACTACACTAGAAAGTCTAATTTTAGAACACAGATGGTGGCGGTGATTGTTGGTGGCCCTCAACTCAGACCTCGATTCATAGTGACCCATGCCCAGTGGGACTGGATCGCTGTGATTGATTTATGCACTTGTTGTTTTACTTTGGCGAAAACAAATATCACAAAACATATGTCACCTCAACAATTTCTTCATGCACAATTCAGTGACACTGATTACCTTCCTCAAACTGAGCAGCCACTCTCATTATCCTGATCCAAATCATTGCACCACCACTAACAGAAATACAGTGTCTCCTATGCAAGAACCTCCCTCCCTCCTCTTCCTCATGCCCCAGGTGACCACTAACAGTCCTGGGCTTCGATGTATTAACCTAACATTTGGTCTTTTGTGATTGGCTTATTTTTCTGAACCTGGTGTTCTCTAAGGTCATCCATGTATTGCTCTGTGCCATTGCTTCATTTCTCATTATGACATAATTTTCTACAGAATTCTTATTGGCTCATTTTCCAGAAATGAAGCCTTTGTTCTTAGTCTGGGAGCTCCATCTTGTAGCCACATGAAAAGCCTTCTCTAGTATATATGCTGGCCCAAAGTGCAATGGCTAGGACTCGAACCCGAATATTCCACATGGCAAGTAAGAATTCTCCAACAGAACCACCACCTCTTCCTTAATGGGTAAGTTAACAGGTAGTAGCTTGGTTTTAAAGGTGTGGTGCTTCTGTAATGTTCATTATAAGGCATGAAGCCAGGTGAAGTTTGAGGACTGGTCCATGAGATATGCAACTGCTGCTGTTTCCTGTTAACAAAACACATCTGAAGCGACTGCAAACATGTGAACCTCCCACCTGGGTTCTCAAGCCAGTGCCTGATCCCAGGACCGTGACCTGCCCATCCCCACTTGCCTGCCTGAGTCACTGCCAAGAGCCGAATTCGAGGAACTTGGCTCCCAGGAAACTTTCCGCCATGTGAGGAGCAGAACAGAGTAGAATTTCCCCTGAAGACGAGGCTCCCCCCGGGAGGCCTTTCCCGATTCGGATGGCAGGGCAACCTCCCGCGTCTGCACCTCCCACTGAGAAATCCACCAGGAGAAGGCTTGTCAGGGACCCTGGGGGCCACCCAGCCGTGCAACTGGACACATACACTTTGTAAGCACTGGTTTCCAACAGATAAATGTAATCAAGGTTTATGTGCTCGGAGAAGCCAACAGGATGGGATTGTTTCACTTGAAAGATCAGAAGAAAATTGTAACTAATGTTGTGGAAAATTACTTTGATATTGCTTTCTTGGTACCGAATCACAATTAGGCTGCTGCGCCCAAGTACAGGGGAAGAATAAATGAATAGTAACAAATCAACACAAACAGCCTGTGTCAGGAGCACTTTGCTCAGGGGAAAGTAATGTAAGCATTACTTAAAAGTTTCATGACGGTGGCTGGATGTGACTTACGTAGAACACGAAGGCCCGCCCATCACCTGGCACATGCCATAGGGGTCCAGCAACACTCATAACCAAAGGGCACAGTTCAAGGTCGACCTGTTCACTTCTTCTGGTTCTACCAGGCTCGGCCGCCCATGCCAGCTGCATGTCCTGCCAGAGGCTCCAGCCCTTTTCCCCAAGGATTCCAGTAATGAGTGGGAGGTGTGCACAGGAGCGGGTACATATGAGGGGTGGGATCCCCATCCAGTCCAGCAAGAACCCCTCCCACCAGGAACATCTCACCTGCACCTGACATGCACTGCAGATGAGAATATGGTACCATCTCAGGCGGGAACCCCAGATATGCCATCATTTTCTCCTCAACGTGTTCTACTGAGTAGACATTAACATTAACACAAACACTGGCATGTACACCAGGGACACACGGGTGCCACTGTTCTGGAGTTTGCTGCAGCCCAGCTAACACTTTTCTTATGTCACTGCCCCATGGGACTGAGGGACCAGCAGAGCTGGTTCTGCTGACATCATCAGTGTCATCGGCTACTCCAGGACTCATGGGAGGCTGTACAGTCCTCACAGCGAAGCCAGCTTGGTGCCCAGGGAGCAGCCAGACCCACTTCTGACAGCTGCACCTGTGACTGTTCAGCCCAGGTGTGAGTCAGCACCGATGACTCAGCCATGGTCCCCTGGAGGCTGCCTGCCTGCCTTGTCTGTGTCTTCACTCTCTGTGAAGAAAAAAACTCAACTTGCAGGCCTTCCCCATGAAGGGCCTCTGGTGGCAGCTGGGGGAGAAGAAGCCCAGTTCTAGCCTCTTTAGGGTCCTCTTGCCTTCCAAGCCCTTGACCACATGACAGCCATACAGCATGGGGAGAAGGAAAAGAATCTGAGCAGAGAGGGGCAGCCCCACTTTGAATGTATGTAAAAGAGAGCTGGAGCCAGGATAGAGCTTGCCTAAGTTCTTCCCCACATTTCATGCCCCGTCTTCAATACAGAAGCTCTGATGGCTTAGTGGTAAGGAAGTGCACTGCCAATCCAAAGGTATATGGTTCAAATCCACTGTCTGTTCTGTAAGGGAAAGATGGGCAATCTCCTCCAGCGCAATTTACTGTCTGAAAACATGCTGGAGGGTAGTTAGAGGTTGGTTCCACATTGACGGCACATAACCACAACATGAGTTAAACTATCAAGGCTCCTGATTGCACTCCCAAGCAAGCTCACCAGCCCACTACAGCCTCTGCCACGGGAGGTAAGCAGGTATGGAACCAGCAGGGGTGGCTCCTGGCCCCCAGTCCCTCTACTTAGGCCAGAAATGGTGGACTCAACAGCTTCTCAGGGCTGGTCAGGGAAACTGAGTCACACATGGGGATCAGACCCGGGAAGCTGTCCCAGACAAAGTGGCACAGGCCCCCAAAGGTGGCAGAATCCTTCTTAAACCTGAGTTTCACCAAAGGGCAACAACACCTGAACAGGCCAGGCTCCCCAGCAGCAGCAGCACTCCCAGGAGGGGCTGCCCGGCCTCTAGGCACAGCTGGCGGTCAAAGGCCAAAGTGTAGGAGCTGATGGTCTGGTCTCAGACACAGTGTGGCAACATTGAAACTATGGCCCACCACCACCTACTGGGGGCTCAGAACACACAGCTCACGGCCACAAGCAAGAGGGTCCACGCTCAGCACACCAGCTGCCCTCTTGATGAGAAAGGAGGGCCAAGCAGGGAGGGAGGGCCCAGGGTGAAGGCTCACCTGGCACCTGCGGGGGTACAAGCTCCGTGGGGTCCTGAAGGCTGATGAAGAGGAGGAGGCCTGCAGCTCCGAACAGGAGGATGGAGGAGAACATGCAGGTCACCCGCATGGTTCCTGGTTGTAGGGGCAGCCGGGGTCACCTCTGGGGTGTGGGAGGCACCTTCTTCCCTCATCGTCCACACCTGGTGTCCATGAGGCCACGTCTACAGGAAAGAAGAGGAGCAAGACTGAGCACCACAAAATGACTAGGCGTCCCAAGGGTGAGTGGAGCCCTGTCTGTGGCCCAGGTGCAGCATAGGTCCCCCTGGAGGCTTCTTGGATGTGTCACTTCCACTTTTTCATGCCCAAGAGAAAACCGAGGGGGGTCTTCTTGCCACCTGTCCCGGGAAATCATTTTCCTGCCCAGGGGACACTCTAAAGGTCCTGCCTGGGAAGGCCAGGCTCACATCTGGTGACCAGTGGCCATCCTTGCATTTGTCCAAACCCTCTTCTTCACCATACAAGCACAAATGAGCCCGTCCAAGGGTCTAAGGGCACAAGCGAGATCTCTGTTCCGATCTTCAAAGTGGCCTGGAGAATACAGACGGGCTTATACCTGTTTCTCCCATGGCTCCTCCCTGGAAGAACCCCTATGCCTAGAACCAACTTAATTTCTCGCCTGTCCTCTCCTCCATATCAGCAAGAACTAGTGTCACAATGATGGTGGGTAACCTCACTGAGCTTATACCAGCAAGAGCTGAAGTTTGGTCAAATCAACACTGTCCGTCCTGTCTCTGTGGCAGCCAGACTGGACTGTGACTCAGACTTAGAGGCTGGGTTTGACAACCTTGTCGATGATCATGCCTGCTGGAGCCACTGCCGACCAGGGAGGCGGCTGACCTAAGTCTCTCCAGTTACCAGCCCAACTGATCCAAAACCAAACCAGCAGATGCCAAACCTATTCTGATTCATGGTGGCATGTGCATCAGAGTACTTGATGTTCCATGGAGTTTTCAAGATTGTGACCTTCCAGGAGATGTCCCAAGTCCTGTATTCTAGGTGCACCTAGGTGGGATTGCATCTACTTTTTTGGTAGTACTCTAACACTTGAAAACCCTAACTACCAAGCAGGGAACTCTGATGGCTTAGTGGCAAGAAGCTGCACTGCAATCTCAAAGACTCGTGGTTCAAATCCATCGGCTGTCCTGCAGGAGGATGAGCAACCTTTTCCTGTGCAATTTACTGTCTGAAAACCTGTTGGAGGGTCAGTTATGAACCATTTCCAACTCAAAAGCACATAACAACCAGAAGCACCAATCACTGAGACCCATCCACCATGGGGGACCCTGCTGGTATTTGAAATATCAGCTTACAGCATCACAGCAACATGTAGGTTGCCCGAGTACAACACACTGACAAGTGCTGTGCTCAAAACAACAAATGACAAACAAGCACGCATGTTCATACATAAGCTATAAAATAAGCAGGTACATGGAAATGACTCCCCCATTACAACAAACAGAGAAGCTTTGAACCCCTAAGAGAAAACCATAACAACAGCAGGATTACAAATATCATGAGATATCAGGGATGTGATGGTGGTGCAGGACAGAGCAGAGTCCATTTCTGCTGTTGTTATGGGTCATGGCCTAATCGCCGGCACCTCACAACAACAACAAGACCAGTGACCCCCAATTGGGCTAAGCTGTGGCTTGAGAACCCTCTCCCCACAAAAAGTAAACTGAGTCTATTGTGGCAATTCTCCCCTTAAGAAACCTAAATAGCTTTATAAATAATAGCTAAATAGGCAACCTTCCACTGGGTTTCAGGGACTATAAATCCTAAGAGTAGACTGCCTCATCTTCCTTCCTCAGAGCAGCTGATGAGTTTGAACTGCTGATTTTTCAGTTATGCAGTCAATATGTAACTCACTATGCCATGAGGACGCCTGTGGATGAAGAGAGCCCCTAAGGCTACTTGTCCAAGGAAAGACCAAGGTTCCTGCAGGTGGTACTGAGTGGGCAGCAGAGGTGAGGTGCTGCATGGGAGACCTGGGCTGGACAAGCAGAAGGCACCATGTCCCCTTACTTTCTCCAGGCCTGGGCCCAGGGACACCCTCTCCAGCCCCCAGGAAGCCCCCAGGCTAACATAGGGCAGAGCCCAATGGAGTCTGGAGATAGGTGGCAACCCCCAGCAGGCTCTATGTCCACACATCTCCAGTCCAGGTGCGCTGCTTTGCATGGGATGCAGATGTCCTTCACCTGATGCCAGGCACAGATGGAGGATGCCCCAGCTACGTGCCTGGTGCAACTGGCCTTCAGGCCTGGGGGCAGGAAGTAATGAAGAGAAGTGTTCAGCTCACCTTCACCCAGCAAGAACGCCAATGATGAGTGTGTGTCTCAGAAAAGCTCTGGGGCTGAGGAGTGTTAAATTGCAGGTTTGGGTTTCTTCCCTCTGCAGTCTCCGTAATTATTTTTTCACTCAGTTAACTTTAATTAACCTGCCCTCAGCCTCTCCATGCGGGACACACTGGAACGAGGGACCTCTGGGCTTTTCTGGGTAGGTGGTTCCCAGGACCTCTGGGCCTGCCGGGCGAGACGGTGCTGAGTCAAGTTCAGGGCTGGCACTGAGCCCACTGCCATGGCCCTTGCCTCACTAGGGTCTCAGAGTCTTAGGGGACAGCCGTGCCTGAGGATGGTTAATGGATGACAATGTACAAAAGACTCAGACCCTGAAGCCGTTTATGTAGGCTTTGTCTTCCTCCATGACTGCTCTGGATAGGACTGTCCCAAGGGCTAAGTTCAATGTCCCTGGAACACATGGAAGCAGCGCAGGGCCTGGGCCTCACCAGAACACCAGGTGGCCCTCAGCGCTGCTGCACGGCTCGCCCCACGCCTGCTGTGGTCAGGGGAAGGCTAATCCTCCCATCTCCCCTAACACTTCTGTGCTGACAGGCCCTGCACAGGTGCCGGCCTCCACCTCCCAAGTCCTGCAGATGAGTGAGTGATTGATGCAGAGACACCTCTCTGCCCAAAGCAGTTAACTCCGTGGGACTCTCAGGAAGGCATGAAAAAAGACTTAGAAGAACGGGAATGACATTACACACCAAGGCAGCAGGATAAAGGCTCGACCTGAGGGAGGAGGACCAGGACTTCCTGCCACCGTTGCTGCTATGTGGACAGGGTCACATGGGAACACGACACACCAGCAAGAGCTGACACACTCATGCCTAGCAAGGCCCCCAGCCATAAAGAGAGACACAAGCACAAGCCCTCAATGATGCCAGCACTCTCGATGCACATCCACCGTGCCAGGCTGATAGGTGACAGACGACCAGTTTGATCCAGGACAGCCTCCAATACCAATACGTTTAAGGATGGGAGAGAACAAAGGAGGATTTTCAGACTGCCATGTGGAGCTGTCTGGTCAAGTGGCTAATAAAGTGCCACCAAAGAAAAGCCCAGAGACTCTTCGTGGATGAACAAAGGAAACTTTAGGCTCTGTGGTCCTGGCGCTGTCTGCACAGACGCTGGTGATGAGGCGCGGGCAGCCCTTCCCCTACCCTGGCTGTCTGACTCGTTACTGTTCCAGCCAGTACAAACCATCAGGGTACACCACCCTGAAGTTGTGCCCTAACCGAGCCTACCACCCTGGACACACAAGCTGGCTCTCATCACCAGGTGCCTGGCAGCAGGGACAGGGACCACACTCTGGACCCAATGAGTGGAAAGGGGCACACACCCTCCTGGTGCCAAGACCAAAAGCCAATGGCTGTTCTCTTTTCAGCGCCCCTCCCTTTTCTTGGCTTCTGAGAGGAGATAAGGCCCTTCCCCAGGTCTAGGAAGTGAGCATTAGAGTCACACCTGGCTTCCCCACCAGAAGCACCTTCTGCTCCAGGACCCTCTTCTTAGTTTATGCTTCCACCTAAGACAGAGCCCACCTGGCCTGCTAACTTTCTGCCCTGTGGAGATCGAAAAGTTAAGCTGCCTCCTTACCTGGGTAAATGGCTGCCATCTGTCTATGTCCTCAGTGCCCCGGAAGGGACTTGCATCGTGGAGTCTTGAGGAATCTCCTTCCCCTAAAAGGTGAGGGTGGGTTGGAGGTCATCAACAGACCACCAGGTACACTCCAGAGTGCGGATGTCACAGCACCTCTTGTTTCAACAAAAATTCTATTCCTCAAAGTCACACACTGTTTTTAAGGCAACAAGGAAGCTTATTATTTGTCTCCTCTCCCTGACCTGACGATGCTGCCCCGTGAATGCATTCGATGACAGGTCAGCTCTGACCGCACCTCAAAACCCAACCAGGGTCCAGAAAACACATCCAGAGGCCTCCTCCCCATCTGGAACCACCCATCCTCATCTCACACAGCGTCACCCTCAGCCCCAAGGACGTGTGCCAAGCCCTCTCCTCCCTCCGCCCTTCTGAGTCAACCAGATAATATGATTTTTTTTTTCAAGCTGTAGGCTGGAAGGAGAGAGGGTGACAGGAAGGAAAACAAACAACCCACTGAGTTTCCAGAAGGTGCTGCCCGCACGACACCTCATCCCCCCCAGAGGACATTCTCTCCAAGGCCCAAGTGGCGTCACCAATTTTTACTTAAAAAAAAAAATCATCTCATTAATCTTGTCACTACCCCCTGGGACACAGAGCTGGGCCAAAGATCCTATTCACTCCCATAGTTATTTGATTTAAAAATTTGTCTGTGGGAAATTCACTTCCGGACAGACATAGGCAAGGACTTGGGAATTCAGCCAAAACACGCACCTCCAGTAACAACGGCCAGTGGACAGACAGCTCCAAGGACACGCTGGGTTGCAGCTGCTCCAGGGCTTGGCTACTCCCCCTGGTCACCCAGAGGACCCCCAATAGCTGAGGGGACCCACCCCCAGATCCCATCCAGCAGAAGGCTCGCGGCCCTGTACCCACAGGAGTACCCACTGGGTCTGCACAGCCAGGGCCCAGGAAAGTTATCCTGCCCGTCCCCTTCCTGCACAGGCAGGAGTGAACAATGACGTCCCTCCCAGCTGAGGGCTCCAGAAGAAGCTGTTCACTGGGAGAGAGGCTGCTATGGCAACTTGAGGAGAATGGAGCCAGGCTCTGCCGTCACCTTGAATCCAGCACCGTGCATTCCGCAGCGGGGGCCGCGGGGGCC